TCTAAATTATCAGGGAAGAGGTCTTTGCGAATGGTGTATGGTATGTTGCTTCTAATATACATTGCAACACCTCCTCCGCTTCTGTTTCGATCACGCCTAACAATATCATAACCAGGAATTTCAATTTCACCGTTTAGTACGCTACTATCTAATCTAGTTTCGTTAAGCGTTATAATGTCAAAAAGTTTGTTTTGCATATATAGCAAAAGCTCATCATAGTGTTTTATCAAACTTGCTATATTTAGATGACATACTTTAAAACCTTTAAGTTTAGGAAAAAGAGAGCCGCTAGCGTGTGACTGTTGTCTATTTACATCATTACCCAGAGGGCTATTAGCATTATTGGCATTATCGTTTTCAATGGAATTAAACCTCTGTATATTACTATCATCTGAGGGAGTAATATTATTTTAATTGTTCGTTTGTCAATTTAAGTTTTTGAAATGATCTATAATATTCTTGGCCAACTTGGCTGTTCCTTGCTTATTTAAGTGGAGACCATAAGGATTCAAGTGATCTGCTGTAATATTGGTATGATTTAATACACCCCATTTATTATTATGGCATACCTGTGATAGTTTGCAATTTAGTTCTTTGATTTTGGAATCTAGGCTTGAGTCATCAGATCTGGTTATAACTTTCGATAATACAATCTTAGTATTTGGTGATTCCTTTACGATTTCCTGGCAAAGCGTAGAAATTGACCCAGCTATTTGTTGAGGGGTTTGTTGCTTTAAGTCATTAGTTCCAACATGTAGGAGCAGATAGTCAGGGGATCTTGATATTGCTGGTTTCACATAGTAACGCATATCAGCAACATTGGCTCCACTGAAGGTTTGCACGTTGATATTATGCTTTGTGCCTTTACGCAACTTGGAGGGGTTTAGATGTTTCACCATGGAATCTCCAATGATGGCCACATTAAGACGATGGCCTGTCTCCGAGCCTGCTCTTTGCTCATATGCGGGCTTGTCTTTTGGCTTTTTGTGGCTGTTGTGATCTTTTTTCACCGTTTGGGTAGCAGAATCTCTCTGTTGTCGCTTGTTGTTTTCATTGTCTGCATCGGTTTCGTTGTCGTTGGTATTTGTTTCTTTTGATTGCATGTGATTGCATGTGACAGGTATGTGATTGCATCAGACATATGCAATCGACATAGCTAGTTATTCGCGACGTTCATGATAGGGACTATAACACTTCCAAAGTTAATAAACCTATATCCTAATATCCTATAACGTAGGACATTTTATCATCAAACGATACATTTATAGACTTATTATAAGACTATACGAAACGGAAACATTTATACTTGTTATACTATAGATAACAGCAAGATAAGAAATTGTTTTATTACTGGAGATTTGTTGCGTTAAATTTTCCTGTATTTATCTAGCGCATAAAATGAAAAAGTACGAAAAAATATTAAAAATAAAAATATGAAAAAATGCGTTTTTAGCACATTTTATGACCCACGACTTTACCCACGACTTTACCCACGACACACGACTTTTACCCACGACACACGACACACGACATATAGGGACACTCACTGCAAGCGTGCTGCAAGGCTGCACATATGTCACACACTATCATCCTCATACACGCTGACTACGCTCGTTTGTTTGAAACCAATTAACGACAATAGCTTGCTAGTCTAACAGTATTTTCAGGTCTTTCAGTCTCAGTGTCGTGTTGAAAGCTTCGAACACATGTAGTTAGATCTATATAAACGTTTATATCAAAAGCTTTATTTTAAATAATACAGTACTATGTATCGATAGGAAATATAAACAATTAAATACGCAGCGTCAGCGGCGATAAAAAATAATTATTACCTTAGAGATTACATGAAGTAAATATGCTTGTGATTCCGCATAAACGTACAAACTCACAGATAGAATCAGTAAATTTAAAGCCATGTAACCTTGGGGCTGCGGCTATGTTTTTTACGTTCGGAAAAAATTTAAAATGCATGTTTCATGGTCGTGCATGCATGCGTACGTGCGTGCGCGCATGCAGTATGTATATACACATATACTGTAGACAAAGTAACTTGAATGCAAAGAAAATCATTAAGCGGTAAACTGTGTGTTCTCAGTGTCATTTACAGTGAAGCATGTTAACTTTTTGAGTAGAACAAGCGTAAGATATTGCATGGAATCGTAACGCGCCGGTTAATAAAATCCAAGCACGCAATTACGCTAATATTGTACATGTTTAAGATCAAATTTCGCCAAGACACAAAAGAATCGATCCCAAACATCTGAAATCGTCGTCGAATGGCTACATCCTAGCCCTAGCGAATTATGCATATGTACATTTTCAAAGAAAGTAGGACCATGTTTAAATAGGCGATTTCCAAGACGTACTTTGGCTAGTTTGGAGAACCCGGAAATTTCAACCATTTCTAAAATAACCAAGTCAATAACATTTCTATTTATGAGGAAAAAATATCACGAGAAAGTTCCATATATTCTAAAAACATATATTGGAACAGCAGACCAAAACTTATAATGCGCGCTCAGCACAGCACATGATGTTTACTGCTTTATTTAGAGACATTTCTTGGACATTTCGCGTCATTTTTGGTTCGATTTTTGAAGTACTCTAACTTTTCTTCATTTTGTGTTTCATGGCTGAAACTTCAGTAAATATGTGGGGTTGGATATGTCTACAATATATATAAAATCGAGGGAAATTGAAGAACTTTCAGTTTTTCATATCTGCCAGAAAATGGTGAATTATTGCGATTTTTACAGACAAGCTCTCTTAAATTTGTGTATACATAATATTTTTCTTTTTCGTTTACCAATGTTCACTATATTAATTTAGAGGTGAGGGTCACGGCAATATCGGATGAAATCTCGCATAAATTCCGGATGTTGGAATTATGAAATTATCAACCAATGAAATTCCTGGTCGCATTCTATTTCGCCAGACCACTGGCCAGACCTATCTGTCACCGCCTAACCTGCCGACGGACATACTCTTATACAACATTGCGCAAGCTACGCAAGTACTTTAATACTTGAGATGGACTGTACTTATGGAAACCAAATTTCTGTTGCATGTTCAGCGATTAAACATGCGAGATTTACGTGTATGTGAAATGAATCTCTGCGCGAATGAACAAAATATCATCAATTACATTTGGTAAGTCGATTAAATTAATAAATAAGACATTTTTGTTGAAAGATACTGCTGTTACTTAAAATCTGTACACGTACACTTTATTGTGCTTGTGTCTGCTGAAGCGTTGCCGCTTTCTTTATCTTACGATAAACTATTATGTAGTGTACTGAGCGTTTCTTAGGCAAATGGTTTTATATTACTTTCACATTCGTGGCTCACTTCTACGTTCATGCAAGTGATACAACCGAACATGCAGTAGAGCGAGACAGATAATTTTCGTAATAAAACCGCAATAACGTCGGAATGGTTTAAGCGTGAAAAAATGCTCAATGCCATTCTTTATATTAGCGTTAATTGAATAGAATAGTGTAATTTAGACAGTTTTAGTTTGTCAGGTTCTCTGGAGGCCGCCCCACGTAGCCATGAATCCATGTAGTCATGAATCCATGATCAAATGTAGAGCCAGAATTGCCAACTTGACGTCAAGGTCGTTGTATCTCAAGCTGAACGAAACAATTTACAATAAAATAATTCTGTATTAGATTTTAAAGTTTAAAATAAAGAATTCTAGAAGTTTGTGAACCTTGTAAAGTTTCAATCTGGAGGCCGCGCACAGGCGCAGAACATTTGTTGTCATAGGGCCGTCGTTAAATTACCGTCTGACGGAAACAAACACTCAAATATAAAGATAAAATCGGTATATTTTTGAAACTGTTGGGTTTACGACGGTTGCCATTCTTTGTAATATAATAATTCAACTTCACATAAGTTTTATACAGATTTATTTCACACGACAGACAGAATACAACTAACAGCTTTACAGTAATTTATACATTATTTACATACTGCAGATAACGTTTTACTGTGATTGGTCAGTTTATCACCAAATATGGTAATGAGTCTCTGTTTCCTATGTATCTGTAACTCAATATCATTTCAACTAACAAACAACAATATGTCTTTTTTATAATAATATGCTTTTCCAAACGCGACAAAAATATCAAGTCGTTAGTGTTACATATCAAGTCATTCGTGTTATATATCAAGTCATTAGTGTTATATATCAAGTCGTTCATGTTTTATATCAAGCCTTCGTGTTTTATATCAAGTCGTTCATGTTATATATCAAGTCATTCATGTTTTATATCAAGTCTTCGTGTTCTATATCAAGTTCTTCGTGTTATATGTCAAGTCGTTTGTGTTTGTATCAAGTCGTTCGTGTTTTATATCAAGTCGTTTCGTGCGTGCATGTCAAGATGTCAGCTTGTTTACATCAAGTTTTACGTTCGTGTTATACATCAAGAAAGGAGAAGATAGTTTTTGATCGGCACTATATTCACTCGAGGTCAGTGCTATTTCGGATCTGTCAGAGTACCTGGCTGCGCGAAATCGGTTATATATTCCCAACCTTGAGGAACTCTTTAACGATTTTTTCAGCTAATCCAGCAATGTAGTAACTGTATACAGGAAAATAGTAACGGTAGATTGGCAGAATTTCTTGGTAGGCGCCTAGAGGAATATCAACGTTCGCTGCGCGTGATGTACGGCAGACTCCGGGATTTTCGCAACAACACACCTGATCTTCTGAATGACTTCGAACAAATACTGGACGTTGTTAGTCGTATATTAAAGGAACTTGGAATTACTTTATAGCGATGATTTTGGAGACGAGTTCCCAGAGAATAATGCACTTTGTACGACGGTAAATCATGGCCTTGTTGGATGACCTCGCTATGAACTCACTCAAGATCAGATACAAATTTTAAGAGGCGAGTTGGGATTTAGATGGGTAGACATTGCTGCAATATTGCATGGGAATATCGTCCTGAACCCTGAACCGTCGTCGTCACGAATTTGGTATGTCAGTCGGACAAGTCTGTGTAGAGTTCTTATAACACGCCCTCTTTGCTGACAAGGCTAAGGCCTCAATATTAACATTTCACTAACAACCCTGTCGAGTTCTTTTTTTTTTATTTCTTTTTATTTAATTTCGCCCAAAATATAACATTTAACAAAATACATTATTTACAAATTTTTAGGGCTAGGAACCTACTGGAAACCAAAAGGCTTTTATTTAAGGTCCCTAGATACAAATTCAAATTAAATAACTATAACATATATAAAGTGCCAGTTCGAGTGTTTTTCATTGTAGTAAGGATTGGAAAAAAAAAGGAGAATAGTAACAAGTATTAAGATATAATGATGAGCTATGTTTAAAATTTTACAATAGAAATGGAGAAAAGTAAGTATGTTAACAAGGAATAATATAGTATATATATATAAATATAGTTAATTTACAGCTAGTGAAAAGGATGTTAATTTGTTGTTTTTAAATGCAGATAGAAATTTTTCATTGTTTTCTTGAAAGACCCATACGATCTATTTTCTTTATATTTCGAAGGAAGATTATTCCATATATCAATTCCCTTATTAGTTAGAGTTTGTTTTGTATAATTTGTTCTGCTACACTTTTTGTGTAATAATGATGAGTTTCGTGTATTGTAGTTATGGATTTCCTTATTGGTAGAAAAATAATTTGTGAATGTTTCTGGTAAATTTTGAAGATTGAAATACCTGAACATAAAAATACTTGTTAAATAATAATTTATTTTGTATATGTTAAGTATTTGCAATTCTAAAAAAATGGGTTCAGTGTGATTAGTATAATTCTTAAAAGTCATTAATCTTACAATTTTTTTTTGAATGTTTATTAACTTTGAAATACGAGATTTGTACGTATTACCCCAAATGAGGTTACCATAGATTAGATATGGATAGACCAATGCGTAGTAAATGAGTTTTAGAGAATTTAAGTTTGTAAAATGCCGAATTCTGGAAATAATAGCTGCACATCTGATCATTTTCTTTGCTATTAAATCTAGATGATAACACCATGTTAAAAATTCATCAATAACAATTCCTAAAAATGTGATACTCTTGGCTTGTTTTATGGCCTCATTATTTAAAGAAATTTTAACATTGTGTTTAGATTTTTTATTTTTTGATCTAAAAAGAACAAATTTGGTTTTTGTAATATTGATAGAAAGTTTGTTGACACTTAGCCAGTCAGAAATTTTGTTAATTTCAATTTGAATAATTTCATTTAAAGTTTTAAGACAAGAGTGACTATAAAGTATATTTGTGTCATCCGCGAATAATATAATTGAAATTAGTTCACTGCAACTTTGTATATCATTTATATATAAAAGAAATAATAAAGGACCTAATACTGACCCCTGAGGAACCCCACTTTTGATAGTCATTTCGTCAGACTGTATCCCATTATATTTTACAATTTGTTTTCTATTCTGTAAATAATTTTCGAACCAATTTTTGGCTACTCCTCTTATACCATAATGTTCTAGTTTGCTCATCAGAATCTTGTGATTAATCGTATCAAAGGCCTTAGATAAATCAAGGAAAATACCAATTGTGAATTTTCCTTCATCAATTGCTTTAGTTATTTTGTTAACAAAGTCAAGTATAGCCAGTTCTGTTGATCTGTTTTTTCTGAATCCATATTGGTGTTTTGATAATATGTTGTTTTTATCAATAAACTTTGTTAATCTTTTAATCATAAGTTTTTCTAGTAATTTAGAAAAACAATTAAGCACAGATATTGGTCTGTAGTTCTCAAATTTATTGTCATCATTTCCCTTAAATATTGGAGTAACTAAAGCAACTTTTAATTTGTCTGGAATACTTCCAAATGTAAATGTTAGGTTAAAAATGTGTGCTAGTGGCTTAGATATTTCTTTAGCAATTATTTTGGCAATGTTAGTACTAATTCCATCATATCCAAAACTTTTGCTTGACTTCATTTTTTTCAGTTCTGTTTCAAGCTCATGTTCCGTGATAGGATTAAGAAAGAAACTAGATTGATGATTACCTGTAAGATATTTATGAAAACTATTATTATCATTCTGTTTGATTTTATTTGCTAGATTCGGCCCGATGTTAATAAAGTAGTCATTAAAATTATTTGCAATTCTTTTTGGATCATCTATTATATTTAATGAGCTGCTTTCAACAAAGGTTTTTGATATTTTGATACTTCTTTTATTTTTGTTAAGTAGTTCATTAAGGGTTTTCCAGATCATTCTTGAATTTTGTTTGTGTTTAATTAACTGCTCTTCGTAATGGGTTTTCTTTGCTATTTTTATAATATGGTTTAATTTATTTTTATATTTTTTGTATGTTTGTTCATTTTTATTACTTGGATTCAAAAGAAAGGCTTTATATAGCTTGTTTTTCGTTTTAACAGATTTCAGTATACAGTTTGTTATCCACGGACTTTTGGTTTTATTTATTTTTATATTGGGTTTTTGTATTTTTAATGGAAAAATTGCTTCATATACATCTGTAAACGATTTTAAAAATTGATTATATGCCTTTTCAGGGTCATTCGTTTCATTTAATATTTTATTCCAGGAAAGGTCTTTGATTGCTTTTGTAAAAGTTTCTATGTTTGCTTTATTGAATATTCTTTGATATGTTACAGTATTTGTATTTTCCTTTGTGCTTTTTTTCAATATGCTTGTATTTATGCTTTGTATTTTTGTAGTTCTTCAGTACTTATATTTGAGAAGTTGTAATCTTGTCCGACTGACATATATACCAAATGCGTGACGACGACTGTTCAGGGTTCTGGACGATATTCCCAATATTGTAGCAATGTCTACCCATCTAACTCCCAACGCGCCCCTTAAAATTTGTCTCTGATCTTGAGTGAGTTCACAGCGACTTTTAGCGAGGTCATCCAACAAGGCCATGATTTACCGTCGTACAAAGTGCATTATTCTCTGGGAACTCGTCGCCAAAATCATCGCTATAAAGTAATTCCAAGTTCCTTTAATACGACTAACACGTCCAGTGTTGCGAAAATCCCGGAGTCTGCCGTACATCACGCGCAGCGAACGTTGATATTCCTCTAGGCGCCTACCAAGAAAGTCTGCCAATCTACCGTTACTATTTTCCTGTATACAGTTACTACATTGCTGGATTAGCTGAAAAAAATCGTTAAAGAGTTCCTCAAGGTTGGGAATATATAACCGATTTCGCGCAGCCATTTTGAATATGTTTTCATGCTGATCAAAAAACTCTGACAGATCCGAAATAGCGCTGACCTCGAGTGAAAATAGTGCCGATCAAAAACTATCTTCTCCTTTCTTGATGTATAACACGAACGTAAAACTTGATGTAAACAAGCTGACATCTTGACATGCACGCACGAAACGACTAGATATAAAACACGAACGACTTGATACAAACACAAACGACCTGACATATAACACGAAGAACTTGATATAGAACACGAAGACTTGATATAAAACATGAACGACTTGATATATAACACGAACAACTTGATATAAAACACGAAGGCTTGATATAAAACACGAAGGCTTGATATAAAACATGAACGACTTGATATATAACACTAACGACTTGATATATAACACTAATGACTTGATATATAACACGAATTACTTGATATATAATACTAACGACTTGATATTTTTGTCACGTTTGGAAAAGCATAATAATAACATGAATATATAATTATTAATCAATACGTAATGCATAAGAGCACAACTTATCATCATGACTACAAATAAGTTAACGTGTGACGGCGATATCTATCTTTGGAATGGCTCGTTGACTGAGTTAAAGTGTTTTGTTGAACAAATGTTAAAGCTTCAGGGGAAATGGAGTTCGCCTGGCGGGGATGTGAAGCTCTTCTGTGACAACGAATCCAAATTCAGTATCAAATGGTATGGTCAACGATCTCGAAAACTTATCATTCAAACAGATAGTGATGAACATTATTTAAAGTTGGAATTTCAAAAATTAGCCGGTACATGCGAGGATAACAACCCAGACGCTGATGAAAATTTTGTTAACCTAATAACGGACATATCCGCTAAGAAAGATGTATATACAGCCGATGAGGAAAGCCAAGTTATATCGCTGGAGAGGTTAATGGAAGTTGAAGTTACCGACGTGAATAAACAGAATCATGAAACTGTGAGCTGTGTTGTTGACAGGAATGTGAAATGCATCGATGAACCTGAGGTATGTGGCCATGTTTGTACATGCACTTGTAGCTGTGTTAACGCGGTTGTAAGCGCGGAATTAGAGGGTTTGAAGTTGGAAATGACAATCCTCGAATCTCGGTTGCTCAGCGTAACCTCTAAAAGCGATAATGAGTCTGAGATAAAATCGCTCCGAGTAAAATTAAAAGATTTGGAAGCCGTAATTCGACATCAGGATGAATTAATTCAGGTACTTAACGAAGACAATTCATTCTTTAAGTCTAAATTATCATCAATAGAAAACTTCATGCTTGAAGTAATTCATAATGTAAATCAAGAAAACAATGCTAATGATACAAGCCCAATTAACATGGAAACTCCATCTGCAGATAAAACAACAGCTCATTTGAATAGTAATAATAAAACCCTAACGGAGAACAATGATCGCGGGTCAGCTAATAATGTAATTAATATTCCAGCCGAAATAACACCTTGTAATGGTGCACAATTGGAGAACTTGAACATAAACAATGAAAGTCCAATTAACATTGAAATCTCATCTGCAGTTAAAACACCAGCTTGGATGAATGAAAACAATACAAGTTCAAGAACCAGTGTAATTCCATCTCCCAAACAAACCCCCCGAGGCTATCGTATTAACACAAGTAAAAAGGAAAAAGCATTAGTGCCGTGCCCTTTCCTAAAAAGGAAAGGCCACTGTTTGAAAGGACCCAGATGTGACTTTTTGCATAAAAATGTTTTACCTGCAGTATGTGGACCGAAAATCCAACAAGGAAACCACCCTAAACCACAACATCATGATAAGTCCCGAATACCCTGTCCCTTTTTACGGAAGAATGGATTCTGTCTAAAGGATGATAGATGCGATTTTTCCCATTATCCGGGTCCTGATAACATGCCTGCACCAATTTCCTTTAACCATTTTCCTTTTTTCCCCCATTCGAATTATTATTTTCCCTCCTTCCGTCATCCAATGCTTCATCCCTTGTTCCCGATGTCTCAGCACCCGTACCCACCAAGAGCCCCAAACCCATATCCAGACCCCCAAACCCATATCCAGAAACCAGAATCCAGAATTTGGATGCAGAGGTAACAAAACAGATACCTGTCAGAACTACGGCATGTAAATTAAACTTGAAGCCCTATCGTAATGTTGATGTTAACAAGCGAGATACTAAGAATACGAAACAATCTCGATATGTAAATTTTAATAATTTAATTTATGTCAATTGTACAAAGGAACAAAAGACTTATTTTATGCCTATCAACTTTTGTCTGTTGAACACCAGATCAATAAATAGGAAAGAACTTTTTATTAATGACTATGTCTCTGAGAACGATATTGATATTCTGACAATGACTGAGACATGGTTACGTGAGGATGATAACGAATTTTCTATTGCTGAAATCTGCCCAACAGGGTATCACTTTTACCACGTTACAAGGAAAAATGCACGAGGTGGAGGAGTTGGTCTCTTACTGAAGAAATATATTAAAGCCAAAAAACAATCCCAGAGAAAATTCTCTTCTTTTGAATATGTTGATGTCACCCTGAACTACCGTAACACTTGCACCAGAACGATTGTCATTTATAGACCACCGCCATCGAAGACTAACAAACTAAGCAGTTCAGTATTTTTTGAAGAATTCTGCATACTTGTAGAACAGTTGATCATATTACCTGGCAATATATTAATAGCAATAATTAATAGCAATAATTTCCATGTAGATAACATTACAGATACTACTAAACTCAACAGGATACTGGAATCGTTTAATTTACAACAGCACGTCAATGGGCCAACCCACACGAAAGGCCACACTTTAGATTTGATTATAACAAGGAATGAAGATAAATTAGTTACTGGTATCAGAATACATGATCCAGTAATATCAGATCATCTTGCCATACATTGTACATTAAAATTAGAGAAACAACCATTGGAGCAAGCTGAAATTTACTATCGAAAATTAAACAATGTAAACATGAATAGTTTCAATGAAGATCTAAAAGTGCTAGATTTAGATGATGATTATGATTATGATCTCCCAGTCCTTATTGATAAATATGAAAATACGCTGAAAGAAACATTACAGCAACATGCCCCACAAAAACGACGAATTATAACTCTCCGTCCTCTATCACCATGGTACAATGAAGAGATTGGTCAAGAAAAAAGAAATCGCAGAAAATTAGAGCGCCGCTGGCGCGCATCTGGATTATGTATTGACAGACAGTTATATGTTAAA